ATGCAACTAATACATATAAAGTATCTCGTGATACTTATTGGATAAAATCCAACGAATTTTAAAACTAGTTGATTTATAAAGATATAATTTTTTATATTCATTTTATCCGGATAATATCAATTTTCGATAATATTAATTTGAACTTAAATGCCATGCTTTTACTCATCTCCACTTTCATTTAACATCGTTGTGTTCTTACCAGAAAACCACTTTTAAACCGAGGGACATTACAATTTTAACACGTCTAATTGTCAGCGTAAATTGTTAAGCGCCTAATAACACGTTTGCTTTGTAAAATACTTGGAAGACCCGATCATACACTAGAAGTATATAATCACGCGAGCTATCATTTATGGAATATGGGCAGTTTCTGTTGAAATTATTTCCCTGAATCATAATTTATGTACCGTAAAATGACAAGTGGAAGCTTCAGAGAAGAACTATACACTTTTTCTTTACGAGGGATGATTGTCTCTGCAATTAAAGTCGATTCTGGTAGGAGGGCATAATAGACGATGGAAGAAGAGCAGTCGTAAAATTTCGAAGACACAGCCCTTTACTGTAAGTTTTTATAAAAATCTTCGTACAATTCTTTATACAGTATTTCTTACAAAATTTTATTGCATTCGTATGGTGCATTCATAATAAATAGAACTTTCAATCGCGTCCGACTGCGTATTTTACAAGTTGTTATATAATACGGCGCATAAGTAAAATATATACTTATCCGTCTCTTAGGTCAATGTTCGGAACACACTTTAATTAAAATTATGAAAGAAGAAAAGATAAAAAAATCTTTCGTGATTGCGTGTATCAGACTTAATTATTATCAAGTGTCAGCGCCTCGTCCACATAGGAAATTACTTTAAGGGATATTTGTACAAGCATTAGATTATATTAGGAAAAGACAAACAAAAGTGACTTATCGATGTTTATTTAAGGACATTTTCGTTCTACTTGGCTCTTGCCGCTCTCTTCGTACTCTTGACTCGATATCCACATCTGCTGGAAGGTACCAATCGAAGCTAAAATCGATCCACCGATCCAAGCCCCGAATCGTCGTTCAGCGCATCCGTTTACGCTGATCAATTTCAGTCTCATACTGGATGGAATTCTCATAGAAAGGTCTCGGTTCAAACGCTCCGGAAAGCCCTGCAATTAAATATCGCGGAATGATGAACATCGCGAACGAATCTCCAAGAAGTTATCGTAATCGATAGTTACCTGAATGAACGAATTCCCACCAGTCACAACGACGCTACCGTAAAGTGCTGGTCTTACGTCAACGTCGCACATGCCTACGCTGGTTGTAACAATGTGACCGACTCCTAACATAGTGTTTCCAACCATGCCACCGCGCATTTGCACCATACTGGGATCAAAGAGTGCTTCGGGTATGCGAAACCGTTCACTTCCGAAGTCCTTCAAATTTGATTTGTTATCAGAGTTAGGAAATCCGTTGTTCACTTTCATGTAAATACCTGGTGATATCCAGTTGGAAATTCATATTGAACCGCAGGGATCGTGGAGACGATCTTTTCATCGTACGGTGTTTCCGACACTTGCAGAACCGTAGCTTGAAAATCTTGGATAAGTTTCTTGACCATGTAATTGTGCCAAGTTTTAGTGACCTCCGGCAATCCTTTCTTTTTTACCCATCTTGGTTTTTCATGATCTTTAACTACTTCTTTACTACCCACCATATAAGAAGGGGATAAGTCAATATCATTGTCCTGTTATTGATAATATAGTTACCGATCTTCGATATCATTAGAAGAGAACATTTATAATCATTGTTATACCTGTAAAAATTGTCTGCACTGCATACTTATGTAGTCTCCTCCAAGCGGAGATTTCACTATCGCTTGTGTCAATACAAAACCGTCTTGAACTGGTACAGCAGAAGTATGTGTAGCTCCACTGTCAACCACAATGCCGGTCGCTCTACCATTTGCAAAAGCAGCAAGTACTGCATTCTTAACAAGGAAATAAGCCGGCACATTGTACTTCTCAAACATCAATTCAGTCAATTTTTCTCTTTTGCTGCGCACATTCCATGGGGATTCAGAGAAAAGCACTGGATGATATTCTGCATCTGACTGGATGACTTTAGAGTAAGTATAATCTAAAACCTGTCAACAAAGAGCAATACTTTACTCGATTATCTTCTGCAGACAAATGCCATAGCTTCATGTTACCTTTTCAAAATAATCCCAGTCTTCTATCATCCCATCCTTCATGTAACTTACAACTTCCATATTTTTCCTTGGAACATGAAGTATAGTGGTATCAATATAATACTTGGTCCCTGATTGCGTTATGTTGTTGTCAGGTTTCTTATCATCAATGTCCATCGGTTCTACTTTCGTAGCTGTGGAATTCCCATCTTCTCCAATTCCTACGACAGCTGGAATCTCAGCTTTAGGCGTATCCTCTTGAGCATAACCGACCCTCAGAGAATGATGACCCAAGTCAAACACTAAAGCTCCAATCTCGTCACCCCCATAAAGCATGCCGCCTGACATTTTGCTGCTTTGAAAATACCTATGATAGTAATATAAGTATCTCAATTGTCAAATGTCTGCAAGCTCATTTTTTAGTCTACATTGTTATGAAAGCTCAATTTTCCATTAAAAAACGAAGATTACTGAACACAAACGGGGATGTTAATAAAAGATATTCATGACTGATAACTATATTTCTACTGCGATTTCACAACTCACCGTAACTCTTCTACAAAAATAACTCAATGAAATAGTAAAAGTATATGCATTTGGCGACTACATGAACGTTTATTTATGTATTTTTTTTTAAGTTACAGAAGCATAACCTCCGCTCAAAAAGACGCTTCGTGCCGCCACCATGGACCCAACGATCTCTAGAGAAGAACCTCGGTTACTCGCCTCTTTTTCATGAAATTACATTTTTTTCAATAAAACAAGATTATTAATGATCTGTTGCAAATAATTGGGAGATTATATAGGGTATATAGAAGCAGTAGATACATTAATATAATAAGGAAAGGAACGATTTCTTTATTTCTTCATTATTCTATCAATGATCAGAGACAATTTGTTTAATTATCGACTAGTAAAATGAAATCGTCAAATCTTTTTAATCATTTGAAATAATTAGAAGAGGCGGCATTGTTTGAACCACCTGTTAATTCTTCCAGGTTCCGAGGATGGAGCTGAGATCTTAAAGAGGAGCACGAAATGGCGACTCTGGTCAGAACGTCGTTAGACTCGAGACAATGAGGAGGTGCGCGGTCGTGTTTTAGCCATGTTCCGTCATCGGTGTTCGCGATAGTGTCCGTGGAAAAAAATGTGGTTTGCAAGGGCCTATTTGTTGTTACTCGCGCGACGGTGAGTCGAAGAAGTTGGCATGCATTCGCTCGACAGAACATTTTATGCTCGTGCGGCAATCGTGTGAAGAAACTGCGGTGGATTCTTGTACGCGTCGGAGTCTGTGACACCCGCTGGCCCAATGGAGCCGCGTATTCTCGCTATCCCGTTGGCTTTGTTGACATTCGTCGTATCGGGTAAGTCTGATCGACTATCGTCGAGTAACTGCGACGTCTTACGTAATTTCAATGCAAAGCTGTGTTATCACCATGAGTTCTCCTGGTGCATTTTATTATTAGAAAGTGATTTAAACCGCACGCAGGTATCCGCGTACGAGAACGAGAACCCAGACATTTGTTACGGTTCACCATAAAGACAGTTCTCGGTTGAGATTATTTTAGTCGCGAATACGACGCTATTTCGTTTTATCCAGTCTGACGTTTTATCGATGAAAAACGGGAAATATCGCTGCGTATCGGTTTACAGCGATCGCTACTGTGTTTGCATTTCGTCTAATCGTAGTAGTAGGCAAATATTTACAGGGCCATTCCGCGATTTTCTGTTTGGCAATCTCTTAACGCTAGAGATTACACCGCGTTTCACTCTAGATTCTTTATCAACGAACCACGAGATCGGTCCTTCCCCTTTGTTTTATTCACTGGGAGGAACACAAACTGTTAAAGAGTGTCGATGATCAAACGTTATCAGTTAGGAAATGTAGCAAATAGTAAAACGGAAATGGTTTCTGTTTTCATTCAACGCAACATACTTTTATAACGTGCAATTACTCCGTGAGCAGTTGTTTCATTGAATCGTTCACCGTTGCGCAACTTCGAATTAAGTAATGAGCCGCTAAGAATCAGGATGCTCGTAAAAACGATAAGAAAAATAATAAATGAAAAGAAAGGTTGAGAAACCCTGCGTTTCGACCGGCTATTATCGATGCAGAAGAGGATGTCGTACAAGAGGGTGATTCGGGGGTGTATTTCCGATTGCAACGATCTGGACGGAGACACATCCCTTGGTCGCATTGTGACAATAAACGAGTATATGGCTCCCTTGATAAAAGTAACAATGAATCTGGTGGAGGTTTCAGCCAGTGCTAAAGCACACCATTGTTCTAACGCTGGCACCACGGTGGTGCTGGCGAAAATAAAGGTCTCCTCCCGGTCTTTCTCCCGTATTACGGATTCATTAAAGAGGTTGCACCGCTAGAAGTATTTGCGTTAAACAGTAAAGCGAGCTATTCCAACAATGCGGCAAGCCTCTCGTCGCGATTTTATCGTCGTAGGAAATGTGCATGCGTTAAACATTCAGTAGAAGCTGCCCACGCTAAAAATCAAATCCTTTTTTTTCTCCGGTTGATCATTCGATCGTACGTTACACGCACACGTACGCATATAATATCTTCGGCATTGTCTCCCTTTATTATGTATATGTATACTTTTTGTTTGCCTTTGATCGTTACGTACGCGCGTTCGTCATAGTTAGCTATAAAGATCCATTTCCGGCTGATCGTCGCCGAGAGAAGTACATATACAAACAGCGAAAGGGGTCTTGAAAGGGCGCGTTCCCCAAATAAACCAGTTAACTTTGTCCGTGATACGATTCCGCCGACGTTCAGCAAACTGCGAAACAATTATGGATCCGTGCAAACCGTGAAAGTTTGCTAACCGCGTAGTGAACCCCCGATCACGGTTCATCGAACTGAAACCCGATATTAATTGATTCTAAGGGGGATAAAAATTCGAAACTCTTTCTTGCGCTTTTACATCCCTCGTATAAGGGCTTGGGACGACGTCCTCGAAGATCCGCTCTAAACGCTGCTAGCCCAAATACGGAATCGTGCGATACACGTCCGAATGTGTTCCATGTAAAGTGGTATTTACAAACGTGTGTACTTACTTTGCGACCGGTGTCGTAACAACACCTTAATAGTCAGCGCCCACGCGATTCGTATGTGCGTGCATATCGATATACAGGGTGATTTACCTGATGCACGGTTCCCCGCACTTGGATACCGATCATGTCCGAGAGCACTTGGTTTCAGAATAGGAATTTGAAACGGCAATAGCGTCGATGCAAAAATCTATAGGTATAGTTATTATTCAATTACGTGTACGTTATTAGCGTATTATCCTTGTTAGGCATTACGTCGTTTACTCGATTCTCATCTCCTCAGATGCTTCGTGGAACGGCACCTTGAACGGAAGTTATAGTCGCGGTACAAAGAAGATAAGAGGGAGCAGGATGGGAGAAACTCGGTTCGAGGAATTCATTTATCGATCGCAAAAGTGAATCGTAGATATGGACGGTACGCCTACGCGTTAGGTTTTCTCAGCGTCACCCCCCTTGTAACCCAGAGCTTTGCCGGGCGATTAATTAATTTCCTCGGAGCAAGGGTCCGAGCAATATCTTCTCTGCCCTTACGGTTTATTAGTATTTATGGGACACCACGTAGATTTGTCACGGCGCGATGTATATGTACCTTGCCTTCCTTCACGGTCTGTTCGTCACATGTCGAGTACTTTTACCGCGTTTCTTAACATTCTACCTCCTCCCCTTTGGCCACAGGCGTACGCAAACCCGCTCCGCGAATTAATCCGTGTTGCAAAAAAATTCTGAAGATTTATCGACGCGCGGAAATTCACCCGGCGAACGCGTTCGAGCGTTTATGAGCTGAAAGAAACGCGGAGCCTAGCAATCATCGCTGGTACAGTTTTTAATCATTCTTCCCTGGAGAAACTATCGCGGAGATCATCTCGAGATCGCGCTTTTAAGGTAAAACATAGGTCTCTCATTCTCTTTCGGCTGTTCCATAAAACTCGCAGGAACGCTGTTCGAAACAGTTCTCGCATCGATCGCGTGAATTTTATCTCCAGGGGATTATTCGATACATTTAACTCGGTTGCGATAGGGACATCGAGACTCGCTGTAACTTTGTATGTACGCGATACTCTCGTTCCTCCTCTCACCGTGCCTCCTTCTCGGTCTTTCGTTCCCGTTATGCCGCTAAACAAGACGTAACGCTACGTTACTTGGCCAGCGCTTTCAAATTTCGATTCGAGAGTTATGATTTTCCGTGGAAAACGGATGCGTCCGATAAACGCTCGGAGAATAAGGCGCGGTGGTTGTTCCCAAAGGCAGATTCACCTCGGCTCCGTGCGCTGCTGCAATGATTCTCCTCTTGATCTATTTCGGTATGCCGTGCGGTAGGTTGTCGCCCGCGCTCATAAATCAAATAGTCAGACGGCGAACGGTTTATTTTCCTTGAGAATGCACTGTCCTGGCGCTATCGGGGCGCCAAATTTCGCACGTTCCTTCCTCCCTTTATTTCTTTTACCTCTTCCCACCCGAATCAGCATCCAGCTATGCACCTCGAATTCAGGCAGAGTCTGACGGCTCACAGCTCTGAAAATATAAGTAGACGAAACGTATCGCAAAGGCATGGATCACTTCTGTCTATCGTCGAAGACGCGTTCGAAGGTTGCGAGGAAAGGTGACAGACCACCGTGAGCGTGAAACTGTAACCCAATAACCGTAGGACAGTGTTTCTCAATTTTATGGAAGCGATATCGATCGCCGCAGTTACTTATCAAGTAAATTCGTTATTCATCGCATTGTATCGGTTCCTCTATTCAACCTTTTGTTCTACATCGAGCAAACTTCTACCACGGTTTTGTTCGCTATTTTTCAATGGCTCTTTCTTCAAAAAGAAGTTCAGGCGAGGCGCCTTGTTACCGGAAGATCATTAATCCGAGAAAATTTTCACAATTATCCGCGTATAATACGCGCCTCTTTAAGGAACGATTCTTCTCGAGGAGAGTCTAACGAGCTGGCTGGAATCTTTTCGAGCGGCGAGGATGAACCGATATCTTTTAAGGTCCGTTGCGTGAATGCGAATAAAAAAATGAAACCGTTCAATGCGAGAGCATCCTATTGTTAAATAAGACTTCGCGTAACTCGAGCCGCTTGCCAGTATGATCACGTTTCGTCGTTTATCAACCCATTTGATTCATACACTGCGATGAATGTTATGATCAAAATTAATACAATATTTTATACGATTTTCAATTACTCATTTAATGATCGGTAATACAAGTATGGGCGAGTAATAATGACAAAGAAGATTGTACATTTACTAAGGATACCTGAATAGTTTAGATCTCTTTAGGAATAAAATTCTGTTCATTGCTTTGTTCCGTAAAGGAAATATTTCACGGGCGCTATCGATTGCTTCGAATTAAACGGGCAGGGTTAGCTGGAAATCGCTCGCATCGCGTCCCATAAAATGGTTCCCTGCCCTTTTTCTCTTATTCCTTTGTCCTGACAAAGAATTATTCAGAAAAGATGTTGAATCGTTCTGCGTGGCGGTTGTGTTCGCGTAGAGGTATACGTGTAAGCGTCGTATCGGGCGATCGCGCAGCCCAGTAAAAAAAGAAGAAGAAAGAAAGGAGAGAAAGAAAAGAGAATTTAGGCACTCGGCTCGGGTGTCTCGCTAAAGGGCTAAAGGGTGTCTCTGTAGGGTTGCCGACCCTTTATCTCCTCTCTTCTCTTCAATTATGTACTCTACGACACATCTACGGATCTCCCCTACTACGCTTGAGCCCGCAGCAATTTTTTTTCTCAACAACAGATATTCAGCCACTTACCCGCGTGTGAGATTACTTACGAGAGACAATCGAGATTCGATGATGTTGCGGCTATAGCGTTACCTCATTACCTCCAGCTCCAGATTTCATGAAAGAATTAATGGCAAACAATGTTTGTTCGCTTATAGCCAGCGCAGGTGGGCTGTATTTTACAATAGAGCCACAGGATGCCGTGGTGGAACAAGGAGGTCCAGCTAGATTAGATTGCGAGGCAAGGAGTGATTTTGGTAAACCTACTATACAATGGAGAACCGATGATGGGCAACCGATTAATTTTATTGGGGATAGTTATCGGTAAGGGTGTCTAATTTTTCGACGATGCCCCGTTTTAGAAAGGTCTCCTAATTTTACCCTTCCTGTTATAGATCTCAGTTAGCTAATGGATCTTTGTATATAAATAGCGTTTATGGCAGTACTCTGGAATTGACTGGGAGCTATCAATGTCTAGCTTCCGTAGACGATGTCGGGGCTATTGTGTCCCGAACTGCCACGATTAAAATTGCCAGTTAGTATTCAGCTCGTCGCGTTTAGAAATTGAAGCGATCCGGAGTTTTATCAAATTTTGTTCCTTGTTGAAGGTTTGCCAGGATTTGAAAGAGAGCCCCAGGACACTATGGTTTATCCGGGACAGATCGCATATTTAAGTTGTACACTTCTTTCGATCTCCAGTTCGTTGATTATACAATGGTTAAAGGACGAACATCCGTTGGTACTTGACGATAGTAGAATGACGGTTCTGCCGTCAGGTGCGTTGGAAATTGACGACGTTAATATGTACGATGTCGGCTCGTATAGATGTAACGCTAGCAGTTATGGACAATACAGACTTAGCAACAAAGCACAATTAGGACTGTTAACAAGTGATATTGGTTGGTATACTTCTCGGAGAGATAAAGACTTTCTCGTCGCCACGACGTTTTTTCTTTTCAATCGTTATTCTATACCGCAGATCAAGAAAGTACGCCGCCAGTCTTTATTGCCAAGCCGTTGCAACAAGAGGCCATAGAAGGATCAACAGTTACACTTGAGTGCGCTGCTAATGGCTATCCAAAGCCAAGTATACTCTGGCTGAAAGATGGTGTCGCTATAGACTTAACGTCCCATGAATCTAGGTACGATCGAATTGTAAAAGCTGGGAATTAACAAATCTGAGTCCCTCGTTTTATCATTCAGGTACAGTAGAGTTGCTGCGTCCAGTCTTATGATTAGAAATGTCCAAGAAATAGATGATGGCTCTTATCAATGTCGCGCGGAGAACGAGGTCGAAACGCTGGATGCAGCTGCTGATCTAAGTGTCCAAGGTATTCATCTTTTTGTCAGTGTTTCTATCGTTGTGTTTCATCCGTTATCAAAATGAATTTTACTCAGTTCCGCCAAGATTTACAAAGAAGCCGGAAGATAAGATAGCTAACGAAAATCAAGATTTAGAGTTCGAATGCGAAATTTACGGAAAGCCGAAGCCAAGAATTACGTGGCTAAAGAACGGAGAACGTATCACCTTAAGCGCGTATTGGCAGATTATAAATGGGTGAATCTACAGGATCTGGCTTTTAATCGATAAATGTAACTTCGAAAGTTTTGTAACAAATCGTATTGCTTCTAGTTACAATCTACGAATAAACGGCCTATTACCAATTGATGCTGGGATTTTTCAATGCATCGGAACAAATTCCGCTGGAAGCGTGCAAGCTGCAGCTCGTTTAACAATTAATCAACCTAGTGAGTCTTTATCTATTACACACGTCTCATAGCCATGCTTTCTATTGTAGAACTCGTCTTTCATCAGTTTATTTTCATTTACTTATAAGTACACACATCATTTTTATTTCTGTAAAAAAATTTTAATTTATTTTCTTTTCATTTGTGTTTCTTCCTTTTTAACGGTGTTGCATGCTAACAAATTCAGAAAGAGCGAATTCCCATAAAGCGACCACCTCGAAGACAGTTCCTAAAAAGAAGTTGTTGTTGCATCGGCAATTGTACAATAAAACGTGGCAACACCCGAGCACACTCCTGGGGCACACGATGTCCGCGTTCACGCCGAATCCGCCGCTGTCCATCAGTCCATCCGATGATCCCGCCGATCTCCCCGGGATTGTTAGATTTCCTAACTCCCTTTACGATCCACCATCCCATTTTCTAGATGACACGGAGAGCTTCGAGTCGATAGATGGAAGCGTCCCGTCAGCACCAAGGAATTTAAGTCTCGTCATTGTAACCGCCAGATTCGTAACGTTACGGTGGCAAGAGCCAGAGATTACAAACGGAGAGATTCTACAATATTATATTTATTATAAACAAGAAGGTATTCAAAGGTAATGATCATTGCTACGCGATCTTCTCAATCATTTTCTCGTCTAACGATCGAACCTTGCAGAGAACGAGTCATAAATACGCAACAAAAATTAGAAGCAGTAATAAGAGGTTTACAACCGAGTATGACGTATCAATTTCGAGTAGTCGCATTGAATGAGAAAGGTCCTGGAAGCTCTAGCGAAGTATTGCACGTTACCACACTCACCGAGGTCTGTTTATAATTATTAGAAACCGCTATAATTGTTATAATTTACCAAATTATTGTATGATCAAAGTGTTTTAAATTTTGATAGGCCAATGTTCCTGGACCTCCATTGAACTTAGAGGGTCATGCCACAAGCAGTGTGAGCATTGCAGTGTCTTGGGAGAAGCCACAAATTGTTAACGGCAGAATATCTAAATATATAATTACTTACGTAGAGGTGCGTTAAATACAGAGTGAAAACAGATATAAAACAGTTATGTTAATGTTGAAAATGATTCGATTAAAGGGTGACAATGAAGAAGTAACGCGTGAAACTACTAGTACCATGCACGAATTAATAGATCTCGTGCCTTATACAGAATACAGTATTAAAGTCCAGGCTGTAAACGAGAACGGCCCTGGTGTCTTCAGTAGAGATATCGTAGTCCGGACGTATAGTGCACAACCTACTCAGCCACCACACAATGTTACAGTAGAGCCAGTTAGTCCTACAGTATGTATCGTAACCACTTCAATTTGTATTAAAGGTTGAACGAGACTATCTTTGTATGACTCTTTTTACAGAGTATTATAATAAGATGGGAACCACCGTTGGAAGGACAGAATGGGATTGTCACTGGTTACAAGATTCGTTACCGCCGGCACGATCGAGGATCGCAACCGGTTACTATAACAACTGAGGGAAATCAACGCTCGCGAGTGCTCACGGGACTCGAGAAGCACGTCGTGTATCAGATTCGTGTATGTGCCTTAAACGTGAATGGGACCGGGCCTTGGACCGAATGGATACAGATCGAAACGTACGAAACGGAGTCCGACGAGAATCGAGTGCCAAACACGCCCAGCAATTTAAGGACGAAAGTGATGTCGGATTCCATACAAGTCTACTGGAACCCACCGAAAGATCAAAGTATTAAAGTAAAAGGATATAAACTTGGATGGGGGAAGGGAGTTCCCGATGTCGACGTGCGACTTCTTGATGGAAAGGAGCGCTCTTTTACGATAGATCAACTCGAGCCATTGACAGAGTATGTTATATCATTAAGAGCAACAAACGATGCTGGGGACGGTCAGCCGGCGTACGCGAATGTGAGAACTGCAGAACGTTCTGTATCTGAATTTTCTGTGCCTTTGATACCTCCGGTTGGTCTTAAGGCCGCCGTACTCTCCGACACAACGGTCGTTCTCTATTGGACCGATACGACTTTGCCGAAGACTCAGTTCGTTACGGATAATCGATATTACGTTGTGCGTTATACGTCGCACCATCATAGTAGCAACCCTCGTTACAAGTACTTCAACTCCACCGATCTGAACTGCATGATAAATGACTTGAAACCTAATACCTTGTACGAGTTCGCGGTGAAACTCGTCAAGGGCAAGCGTGAATCACCTTGGAGCATGGTCGTAACGAATCAAACTCAGGAAGCCGTGCCCAGTTCAGCGCCTAGGGATTTGATGATTCAAAGTATCGAAGACCGTCCAACGTCCGTTTTATTACGATGGCAACCTCCGAAACAACCGAATGGACCAATTACAGGTATATGGCTGATATCAGCATGTGAATTTCGACGTGTAACAAACAAATCATTGCAGGATATATCATTTTTTATACAACCGACAACACCAAGTGGGATCGTGATTGGTTGATCGAGGCAGTGATCGGAGACAAAACCGAGTTCATTGTGAAGGGCCTCCAACCAAGCACAACTTATTATTTTAAGATTCAAGCACGGAACTCAAAAGGATACGGGCCATTTTCTACGACCGTTCCATTCAAGACACCTCAGAGTAAGTATTTCGTTCATAAATATGTATATGCACGCGGTCTACGACATCTGATTGTTTTCGTTGTTCACTGTTGCGTACTATTCGTTTTTATCTTTTGATATCGTATGTAAATTATTGGTGTTATTACATTTTTTGTTTATTTCAATGTTAGGCAGTGGCATGGATGTCTATGATGAATTGCATGACCGAGGTAAGACACCTATCTTCCGTAGTTTCTTCCTTAGATAGCATGTAAAGTAGCGAGCGATAAAGCAACGTGAATATTGCATTTAACGAACTTACGTAATTATTACGTTAATTTGAACGAGGCGGCAATTATCAAATAAACTAACTTCATTTGCAGACGGACGAGGACTTTCGAGTATATTGATTTACATTATCGTGGGTTGTTCCATCGTCCTTATCACCGGCGTAGCAGTGGTAGTCGTAGTTATATGCTGTAAACGAAGTCCGGATACACCCGATCGAAAGAAGGGGTATATGAAAGACGCAAATCAAAAGGCGAATATCAAGCCACCAGATTTGTGGATTCATCATGACCAAATGGAATTGAAAGCTCTTGAGAAATCGTCGATAAACGGAGAAGCATCGACCAGCGGCGTGACTAGCAACACTTTACCGAGGTCGAACAATCAGGATTACACTCAGGACAATGTTCACGGAAACTCTAGTTCACTGGACAAACGTACTTACGTGCCAAGTTACATGGGTAAGTTGTATGTCCCAGAATGTTACTATAAAACACAATAAGTGCACAGAATTTTGTTACGTTTCGACATGATACACAGTTAAAATGTTTTCATGATTTCTTGTTAATCCCTTGGTCAATCACACGAAGATTTTTCCTAATTTCCTTGATTTTCGTTCACGGTTTTTGTTCGATCACTCGACATTAGGTAACACTGACGAGAAGTGCTCGACCCTGAATAGGCAGCATAGTCGTGGGACCCACAAACCTAAACTTATTACACTTCCCGTTGACAGTGCATCTTTACATCAACGTAAGTAACAGTGAAAATAAACAGAAAGATCTATAATAATTCGTTCTATTTTATACTGTCGATCTTCTCGTGATCACTTAATGAGACGAAACGTCTTAGGCTGTATAACAAGTACTTGACTTGTTACAGCTATAGCGACAGCCACACCGATCGTAAATACGAGCATGTCGCAACCGACGATTCACACGTCGTGCGGCGATACACCGTCGGTGAGGCAGAATTATCCTCGAACAGTAGCGCAATACAGCTTAAGTCGAGCGCACATTACCTTAGAGCCAACCCCCGAATCGAGTCCAGATTCGTGCAACATCTCGACTTCGTACGAGCCGATGCAAAGCCAAGTAAGATTACTTAAATCGATGTGAAGTTCCTCTGTAGAAAAAGTTTATTCTCACGTAAATCACTTTATATCTACAGTCATTATCATACGGCACAAGTGGCCAATCGTACACTGGAAGCACTCAGTACGCCTCGGGCCATTATAGTAACAGTAATCAACCGTCAAGTACCAGCAGCGTAACTGATGGCGGTAGCGGTAGTAAGAGATTGCAGGGACATCCATTAAAGAGTTTTAGCGTGCCAGCACCACCGCCTCAGTCCGCGCCTTCGACGCCAGCTCAACAAAAGCATGGTGGTGAGTTCCGTCTATATTTTTTTCATTCAATCATCTCGTACGATAACTGCATCTCGATGTTTTAATTTTACACAGTTTCTCAAGTAACTGTAAGACCCACGATGTCTGGAAGCCCATATAAGAAGCCGCAAAGTACTACGCAATTAGCGAAGAATCGACTAGCCTCGGTCTCGAATCCGGTTCATACCTCGGAGGAAGTCGAACGATTAAAGGTAATATTTTAATTAATCATTTATTGTACGGTACATTAGAAGAACGAAGAGGATACTCCTATTTCGTATCGTAAGAGATGCTTTAATCTAAGAGCCGATTCTACTAATTACTATTTTTTATAGCCTTCTTACAGTACAGAAGAATTAAACCAAGAGATGGCTAATTTAGAGGGTCTCATGAAAGACTTGAATGCCATAACAGCATCTGAATTTGAGTGTTAGAAGAGGTTGTTAAACCTTGTGCCATCTCAATTCGATAGACTGCAATGATACATTCTCAATGTTAGTACCTGAGAGACGAGTGTAACGGCCGTGTTACACGTCGAAACTCTCCGAAACGCGAACGTTTAAAACATGCATAAAAATAAAATGCAATTGGCAGAATGAATCGATGGCTGATGAACGGCCTGGGTAGTCGAACTTCCCGAACGGTTCGCTTCAAATTTATAATCCCAGTAAAATATCGGACTAAAACAAGTTTTCTCCTAGTTAATTTGCTTTTTTCCTCCGGTACTAACGTTGTTTTTTTTACGGTAAAATGCAAAGTATACTTGCCAATGTATTTTGACACTGCCGCATTCTTGTAGCGATCTTTTTACAAGAACGGTGAGTAGTACGGTACGAAAGTGTTTGACGAGAGAGAATCAGACGGACGTTTGAGACGGTGTACTATGTTTTTGTGCATACGGTGTGTGCAAGTTGATCGAAACGAAATGAAACTGATAGCTACGATACAGTTATCAATGATTTTTCCGTGCGACTAGAGTACATTGAATTAACAATCTGAATGGATTCGTAACGAAGGAGAGACAGTCTTGATTCATGGTTAATCATGAGATTATTTTTCACGTGGTTCAATAGAAAAGAAATGACGAGAACTTGCCTAAATGTTTAAACAAAAGATTCGTACTGCATCCAAAAGCTCACGTGTTCTTCGCCACGATTTTGTAATTTACACTCGCAAGAGTACATTTTCTATACCAGTAAATATTGACTGCCATAATTACGCTTAAGACGGCGGAATCACGTGAGTATCTTTAACGAACAAATTATTCGTTTCGGACGATGGAAATACCTTTTCTATTTTTTTATATCCGTCAGAATTTTTCTTCCGTAATGCCGCAATCAATTTTTGATAATAGGTTTTACACGGTACAGTACTTTCGAGTTAGTTAATTTAGTATTAATCGTTCGACGCAAAAGGAAGGGTATCAAGGAGTTTCGCTAATTACAAGTCATAAGCGTTGCCTGTGGTCTTATAGATTTGAACAGGCTGAGATTTCATCTATGATAAATCATTTTGGACACTCTTTATCGGCCTTAAAACGATTTGATAAGTCGCTCTGTGGTCAGTGGCTTCGGCAGCTTGCTAGGAAACTCCATTCTCACTTTTTATGCAACACTAATTACTAGCCTGCGGATTAAAATCAGTTAAAAAAATGCAGTTTCATTTATCATTTAAGTATCGCAGTATGTACTCAACTTTTGATACTTTTATACATTAGAACGCACACTGAACTTTTCTACAAGTTGCATCAATTCCGCAGCCTGATAATTACTGTGTACTTTTACGGATGTATTGGCTATACGGTCAATCCCAAAAGTTTATGTACCTTAGAAAAACGCATTTCCTATAATTAAAAAGAAATCAGACGTCGGAAGAATAATGCTAATAATAAATAGCTACGTCCTAAAAAGATTGACGCTGACGAAAAATTTTTTTTTTCAAAATTGCGAAAAATGCTTCAAATAAAAGTTGTTTTCCTTCTAACTTCGATATTTAACGAGTCACGTATGATTATTTGGCATTTTATTGATGTTGACAAAATCCGACCATCCCAGCGTCGAAACGGCGAACTTTTGGCAAAAAATTTCATTCTTCATTAATTACTCCTAAACCATTGAATTTACGAGAAAATTGTATATGACCTTTCTTGTAGAGGACGACGAGATCTACCATTTCCATGTAAAAATTTTTCGCTAGCATTAATATTTAACGAGTTATGGACGAAAAACGAAAAAACAGATTTTTGTAAATTACTCGTTCACTATTGATGCTACTGAATAGTTTTTATATAGAAATTGTAGATCTCGTCGTCATCTAGAAGAAAGGTCATATGCAATTTTTCCGTATGTCCAACGGGTTGGGAGTTATTGGCCAAAAACAAAAATTTGGAAGAAATTGAAGGGCTACTACCCCCCTTGGAAACATCTCGGAAAAATCGAAAATTTTTTTTTGTTGTTTATTATTAGCAATGTTCTTCCGACGTCTGATTTCTTTTTAAAAAATGCGTTTCTAAAGTGCATAAACTTTTGGGATTGACTGTATAGCCGATACATCCTTAAAGTACTACGGGAATCATATTTTATTTCCATTAAAAGAATTGGAATCGAATAACAAATGAAAGAGAATTCTCGATTCCGAGGCGTCTCCACAATAATAACGTTAATAAGACAATCGAGGCAGCGGGTGCGCATTCAATTGATTTTTCATTACACCGTAGAGAAGACAGGGAGGAGTCGCTCGGCTCATTTCTGCGATAAAAGAAACCCAGGACTTAACGCTTGGAACATTTTGCCTATTTCCTTTAAAGAGGAGCAAGAAATTGATTGAAATTCATCATTTCAATTTGCGATTGTAAAAATCCAGCCGAAAAGAATGGGCGGATTTGAATCCATTGTTTCTAACTCGGTAATACCGCACAGGATTACGTCGACGGAACCTGTCGGCCATTCGAGAATTTGTAATCTATCTGTCGATTCGACGAGCCACCGTAACTCACAAAGGATTCCCGATTCCCGGCGCAACGGCAATATATCGACGATTGATTAATTTTGCCTCATTACGCATCGGATAAATTTCGCGATATCGTCGGACAAAGACGCGACGCCTTGATCGGCCGCATTGTTTCACCTCGCTTGTTCAACGAACCGCTTTATGTATTTATGGAGGCGCGCAAACGCTTCTCGGTGCAAATCGACGGTGCGTGGTGAATAATCTTAATGAGAGCCATCCAGGCAGGCTTTCCGCGCCCCGAGTACAAAATCTAAACGAAATAATTAGTTACATGTTGAAAATCATTCCTAAAAGGAAATGTAAAAATAAGAGGATTTTAAAAGGACATGAAGTTCTTAACGATACTGCAGTCTCTCCTGCTTTTGTGCCTTGCATATCGTCAGGCATCAAAGCCTTGTATATTGAAACACACATAGGACAACGTGTACACAGTTTAATTGCGTTAACTATTTTTAACGATTCTTTTTTAATGTTAATAAATACTTTTCTCAACTTCTTTGAAGCTTATTACATTTTTAAACCCTTTTTTATTCGAGCTCTCTCAGTAATCAGTTGTGGAATTGGTAATTCGTTATTTCTCTTTATCTACATGTTTCTCTCTTTTCTCGTCTTTTATTTACTACGTAAGGTTTCATGTGAACTAAAGGGACTTCCTCGATTATATTGTATTTTCCAATAAATTTTGTTATCATTCTTCTTGTCCGCCTGCTGTTACAAGAATTCAGCACCTGCCCGTTTCGAGTGATTAGCGAAACGTCAAGGTACCCAGCGAAAGGGCAACGAGAATAATAGTTAGCCCTTATCTCACGTTTCACGGTGATTTTATGAGGACCCTCGCTCGTGCTCGTAGGCGTGTACACACTGCCGTGGACCACCATCGATCTCCCTTCCTCCCCTTATCTGCCTTAAATTCACCCCGGCACACGATGTTCGGTGAGGACCGCTCGACGAGTTTCACGTGTATCGTAATTTTTAATCATGTCTCTTTTCCGCTGTCTTTTGTCAGGCGGTCTCGTATCGGCGCCGAGCGACGATGTCCTTCTCGACGCCGGTTCACCGAATACGCAATTAAAACCGCGGACTCCGGGTAAAAGCGACCGCGACAACGTCAACTGTATCGCAGGACACCGTCGCGTCGCGTCGTTGCACGCCCTTTCGAATCAGAGCCGCTGTTGTCAGCATTCACGTCTTCTCTAGCATAGGTCCCATCACTCCAGGTTTTTTCATCGTTCGTTGAATCTTTTTACGTGTCCCGCTTTTTGAAAATGCTCCTCCGCTAAAAGTATTATATCACGTTCGACGAAAGTCGCGCTTCCGGATATTAATTAATTTAACTTCGACAAGCAAACCGCGCGCACCTTTGAAACGAAATTAAATTACCATATTAATGAGATGCAATATCGTTGAACAATATTTTCATACAACATCGAATTCGCGTAACCCGCGACTCCTATTGTTATCCGTACCAGCGGATGTTTATTTTGTAACTTATTATCTCATTGTGCTCGAGGAAAGAATATTTAATGGAACATCGCGAATTGAATAAATAATCTGAGGGAGACAATGTTTCGTATTTCGTTGCGTGGAATTCTCGTAACATCATTATTAACGTGTACAGGGCCGTTAATAAGCTAAAAGCACGCCCATGCAACATATGAATCGATGCGCAACTTCTCGTGAAGTTCATAGATAGTAAAAGGAGACCCGGGCGAAACAATGGGGAGAACAGAAAATGCGATTTCAGACGTTACGACTTAATACGTCGGGAGGAGGTGGTTCGTTAAAAAATTGAAACAGGGGGATACGCGCAGCGTAAAGAAGTTAAAAAATGTGAGAACACGCGGGCCGTGGGAGGGCGAGGATCCTTGGATGCGAACATCTGCGCTCCCGTTGCTTTTCCGCCGCTGGCGACTAATGCTTCCTGCTAGGACGCGGAACCGCGTTGCTCTCGTAATTATGAGCGATTGTAAGTACACGTCGTTCGGGGAGTGACACAATGCGGCCGCTGCTGCGTTTTTCTCACTGATTCTCTTCCTTTTTGCCCATGGTTTACCTCCTTTTTTTGCCTCTTTTTTCGCCGTCTCGACGGCATCCCGGGGGTGGTTTTGTGCGCACTCGTCGTTCGGCTGGTCGTTTCGAACATCCGTTTCGCGTACCTCCTATTCGAACGAATTTTCGCGGCATCGGGTATTCGTGGTATTGGGCGTACGTATATGCNCTAAACCATTGAATTTACGAGAAAATTGTATATGACCTTTCTTGTAGAGGACGACGAGATCTACCATTTCCATGTAAAAATTTTTCGCTAGCATTAATATTTAACGAGTTATGGACGAAAAACGAAAAAACAGATTTTTGTAAATTACTCGTTCACTATTGATGCTACTGAATAGTTTTTATATAGAAATTGTAGATCTCGTCGTCATCTAGAAGAAAGGTCATATGCAATTTTTCCGTATGTCCAACGGGTTGGGAGTTATTGGCCAAAAACAAAAATTTGGAAGAAATTGAAGGGCTACTACCCCCCTTGGAAACATCTCGGAAAAATCGAAAATTTTTTTTTGTTGTTTATTATTAGCAATGTTCTTCCGACGTCTGATTTCTTTTTAAAAAATGCGTTTCTAAAGTGCATAAACTTTTGGGATTGACTGTATAGCCGATACATCCTTAATGAAACAGTGTAGTATTACGATCTCATTGAGAAATTATTGTAGTTACAAGTGAACATCGAGTATGGGTATTATTAATAGGATGTATAGCGTACCGAGAAATAATTTGTAATTTCGCGCGGAGCCTCGATTTTAGCGAGGCGTTCGATAAGCGAGCCTCGCGTCGATACTATTTACGACTTCGATAGTTCGTTTTAACTTTAAGTGAGCATTATGTTTCTAACGTCCAGTTAAGATATCTACGTGCATCGGTCTAATTAATAGAGTTCAATTCGAGTGTCGTCTTCGGAAAACATCGGGACATTCACGAGTCGTTATTTGTAAGTAACTAAACTATTTTGTTTCGGGATTCTATACAGATGTTTGTGCATAGCTACGACTTGCGATACGTGAATACGTTGCAAGAATTGTTCGAATTTTTCAATCATTCGAGAACGGTATTACGTACAGTAATTAACATTGTTTGAGAGCATATTCGTCGCAGATATATATTTCCTTCCAAGTCGCTAAGAATTTGCTACGAAAATTTTCTACACATTTTATTACGTGCTAGACGTATATACACACACACATACACGCGCGCGAACAAGTCTCTTTAGTATTAATAAAAGAAAGACTTTTTAAGAGAGGGTAAAGCAGGATGAAATAACAATTCTAACACAGAGTGAACGCGATCAGATAATTTCGCATAGTAGTATTAAGTACTATACCACCTTTTTAAGCACTTTTGTATTTTCTTAACGTTGGATATGATAATTGTACAAAGGTACGGACAAATGCACCAAGGTTTCCCGTTGCGGCAAAGCCTAATTAATTCAGATAAATAGTACAAAGCAATATGTGATACTCTTTTTTCTCCACGAGAATCAAACGCGAGTAGTCGTTCGCTTGGTCGGGAGTATTGCATATTACTCGAGACATTTGCCGGTAGACGGGAAAGGGAAAATATACATATATATATATACCACTCGTTTTTGAGCAACGCGAATCGAAAAACAGGTTCTTTTTATCGTCGGCTTAGCTCAGGTTAGACAGAGTCATTCAGATAGTATTTAAGCACACCGTGCACGATTCATTCCCTTCACCGATCGATTCGATTTCAATGTTGAATCATGAGAAAACAAAGTGGGCTGTACGCTTGAACGGTGCAGGAATAATTCTAAGTATTTTATTATTCGCTTC